CTCAACCAGGCAAGGGCCACCAACAATGCACAAATCAATATGCCCAATCCCAGCAACAATGGAAAGCTATGCGGTCCGCTTGGGATCTCGAAAGTGCAATGGCAGTGGCACGGTGGACAAACGGGGCTCTGTTCCTTCCAGGTCGACCGTACGATCCAACCGATCGAGAAAGCGCAAGTGACCACAGCCACCTGCACTTCCATGGCCGCCCCCCTAGAGACCTTGAGAGTAAGCCACGGCATATATCTTCCTCTCCGTCATCTATGAGTACACTCTGCCAATATATATATATATATATCACCTCCATCGAGAAAACGACTGGCCAAAGAACAACAGGTCATTCCGGTGAACAACCGGGATGTCTTCTTTACGGGGCCAAGCACTAGGCCACTCGGAACCTGTGGCTGCTACATGCCAACCATCCTCTTGAGACTCAAGACGCGCAGAACCATGCAGGAACCCCTCCTCGAACCAACGAATCTGATTGATCTGATACCTCTCTAAGGCAACGAGGAAGCACAAGCTCGTGGCCAGGACAGCAATGCCATGCAGGACGATGCTGCCAAGGTCGATGGCACGCAGCTGCCCCACCTCGTGGCAGCTGAAGGCGGAGGTGGAAATGGAACTCCAAACCCTCAAAGGTCCATGGACAAGGTCCAGCATCAAACAAGCATCAAACACCCATTTGATATCAAATCATATCAAATCACCCCCCACCATTTGGATTGAAACAGCATGAACACACCTCTTTCTTTTTGGTTCGTTGATCTTTTCGTAGGAGTCTACATTCTCAAATGGCAAGAAGTTCCCCAAAAGACCATCGGATCCAGCTGGTCCCAGTGTCGACCCTCCATCCCTTCGTTCGAATCCAGAATCCATCGGTGTCGCCAGAGTTAACGCAAAAACAGAACCCCCGACACCCCCAACAAAGAGTTCTTCCCTACTCCACCTCTCTTCAGAGCCGTCTTCAAGCAAAGAGTCATATAAACAGGTGTACTGGTGCACGTTTCCTAACTATCCCTAACTTATCTAACTTTCACTCAGCGAAAAAGGGAAAGCCAAAAAGATCGCGTCACAACCCGTGCCGTCTACAGTCTAAATGTTCCGAGGTGCCGTGTCTTTAAGCTCCTTCCACGTCGTGCAGTCCTGCTTGTCGCTACACAAGGTCTGCGCATCCTCCCTAGAGGATGCAATCACTAAGCCTTTGCACACCCATGGCTGTGAGGCCAACTCCACACCTGAGTGGCCCAGTAAAGGCGTTGGAACCAGTTTCGGATTTCCAGCTTCAACACGTGTTACGCTGGAATGTGACGACGGTTTTCCGCCCCAAGACTGCTTGATGTGGGGAATGAGCTGTACGCCTCAATGTTCAGGTCTTAGTGGGCCACCTGATCCTGGCGAAGCTTCTACCAAACTCTCGTTCTGCTTCTGGCAGCTGAGATAAGAACATCGGTGACTTCTTGGGAAATTAGTTGAAAGTAGGAACCAGATCTTTCGGATGGAAAAGGTGGAACAGGTTTCGACGTTGTTCTGAGCAGTTTCTAATGTTCTTTCGCCATCCCCCCGTGTTTCGTCTGGATGGTCAAGGGCACCTTTCCTGCACACACAGGGTCCACACATTCACACCCGCCCATCTTTCTGCAGGTGAGTCACATGTGTCGTTCTGCGGCTCGAACTGCGTCCGTTCCTCCTCACACTCCTCGCCGAAGTACTCCGTGGGGCATTCGCATAGCTTCGGCCACTCACAAATTCCAAGCAAGCTCTGTGATTGGCACTCAGACTGAGTATCCTCAGAAGATGCCACTTGGATCCAAGTGGCGGGTGCTCAAGAATGAAAGTAAATATATGAAAGTCATGAATAGCTGGTGCCCCACGACTTCAGAACTACGGAATTGGATCGGGGAGCACCTCCTCCAAAAGACCTAAGACCTATAAGACCAAGCATGGCCAAGGCCAAAAACGGCTGATCGAAAACCACGATCCAATACAGATCTCAACCCATGCATGAGGTACAGTATTAGAAGATTTAGAAAAGGGACGCCCCATGACGCCCCCTCATTCAACAGGAATCGGGCCCGTTCTTCCATGTGACTGACTGGTGCTTAGTAGGGAATAAGATGAATAAGGGAATGGGCCCCCAATTTAATTATATAGATGGGGATTCCATTGTATCATTCCCTCATTGCCTACTAAGCACAAGTCAGTCACATCAGCTTCGGCAAGGCTCGTAGATGGCACACCCGCTGTCCAAGGACTTCTTGGCACCGACACATCCAACACGAATCCCTTCGTTCTTGCCTTGGAAAATGGACCAGCACAAAGGAACACAACGGACTCAGGAAAGAAGAGTGACACAAACACAGAACGTACTACTGTTGCATCTTTTTGGGGTGAACACGCCCAGCAACTGCGGAGATTGAACTATTCAAAAACCAGGTTGCAAGGTTTATTCCAATCTGGCTCCACCGTCCAGTGACAGATTTCTTGAATGTTGCACCTCTCTCTGCCATGATTCGTGTAACCTCCGCATACTGCATCGGCGTGGGCATTCTTCCGATTGACGCCTGCACCTCTGCAACCAGCCCGAAACTTCAGACTTGGAACGTGATAATAACACGCAGCCTGTTCATCACATGTAGCTTGTGTCAGGTATCCCGAGCAGTCTGCTGAGCCTGCTGTAAACTCCGGTCGGGTGATGCAGCGCATGCTGACAATCACCTCACACAATCGGTGCTCGTCGAAGCAAACACTTGGATGAGTGCTAGCGTCACATACTGCTCCAGCGCCCGTCTCGCACTGGAGACGTGCCTCCGGCGCTTCGGACTGACATTCGCAGTAGGGGATCATGGTCGCCGTGATGGTGGTGGTGACGGTCACGGTCGTGGTCGTGACATTGCTGGCAATCCTTGTGTCGCGACGGTGGTCGCTGGTCGTGTCGATGTTAAGCCGAAGCGACCCGAGACTCATCGGCTAAGTGAAGGATAGAAGCGGGTTTCACGGCGGCTTAGCCAGCATGGAGTATGTTAGGTGGATGTGACGGCAATTGCCCAACTGGCTCGTGATTCATTTGGTTCATGCAACGAGTCTGTCTCTGCAACATCTCCAAACCCTGCCTCTTGTTGCATCACGGTTGGTGTTAGTGGGGATCCCTAAACAAAAAGGGGCAACAATGTGACACGTTGATCTAGAACATCCAGTAAAAGCAAATACATAGGCATAGGCCTTGGGAAACGGATGTGTTGGGGCTGTGGGTGGGCTGCAATATTACTATCTAGTATGTCTTTCTTGGGGTTCCTAGTTCCTTTACTTTTGAATTTATTTTTGGTTCTGCTAGGTTGCTCCTTATGGGGCTTTAGGGAGTTTCCCAGCAGTGTAGCCCCCCAAGCGCCCATGACAAGAGTGCAGCTTCCCGGAGAGGTCATCCCCTGCCCTAAGCTGCTTGGATTTGGCATTGTTGTGTTTTTTTTTGTTTGGTTGACTTGGCTTGGACTGAACAAGCTGGACCACCAGAAAGCTACCAAGTGCCAACAAAAGAAGCTATCAACAGCTGCCATCCAAAACCAAACCAACCCGCAGCCAAATGCCAGCCCAAAGCCACACAAGCCACCAAAGACACACAAACCAAAAGCTAACCCATGAAAACAAATAATGCTCCCGAAAAAGAACATAAAAGTCCAACTATACATGGCCCTCCCTGTGAATGCCAAGGGGGCTAACTGTGTTGAAGGGCATAGATCATTGAATCATTCAAACGATCTGGAATAATTGATCTTGTTCCAGGTCTTCCGCGAACCTGACATCACGTTTAACCCGGGCCCGTTGCCATTGATGGGACGAATCCGTCAACAACGTCCACCTGTCAAGAGACACGATGTGCAAATCCGTCGTGGTCGTGGTGGTGGTTCCGCAGCACTCCTCAGCACTGAAACCTGTAGATTCCACGGACCATACAGGGCAAACGTCTGGCTGCAGGGTGGCTAAGCTTTCACAGCTCATCTCAGCGCTGTAGGCAGCAAAGGCAATCCAACAGCCTTATTGAAGACCGACACCACGTGGGCCTCTCCCCACAGATTTGTAAGATTCTGTCACCCCGAGAGGTTGTGGTGCTTCTCGTGTTTGTTCCCTGCTCCAAGGGCAAGAAAAGTAGTTGACAACTAAACCCTAAATCATATATATATATGTTACAAGGAACATCAAGTCAAGGCTTCAAATGCTCAACCTTCACCTTTTCCAGCCTCGGAATCTTAGTCATGAAGGGATCCCAATGCAAATTGGGTGGAGCTTGACACATTTGGCACATGCAGCTGAACGTTCCACCATGTTCCGCACAAAGTCTTCACACGTCGGACCGATCACCGGCTCGGTTCGTGAGCTCGCTTCGTATCACTGGCTGAGGGACATAGGCTGCAAATGCAGAAGATGAAGATGATGCGCACTCCATAGCCTTGGAGAATGTGTCGCGCAGAGCGGAGAGAGGTCTGCGGCAAGAAGGCGAACAGTCACGTCTCGCCAGGCTATACTGGATTTAGAGTAACTATATAGATGGCACAAGGGCACCCCCAGTTTGGAGCTTATATGGGCCCCAAACTTATTGGAAAAAACGTTATCAATGGTCAAAGACGTCTTGGGGGAAACGTGCCATCGAACCACTAGAACCACGGTACTGGATGCGCAAAACGGGCCCTCTGCATCCAGCGTATGTGCCAGCATGTGCCAGCTTGTGACAGCGTGTTTGGTGGAGTGAACAGCCTGTTTGAACCCGTTGCTCGTCAAGTAGTTGACTCCTAAGTGTGGCCCTAACAGGCCCTAACATCCACATTCTGCTGTTGTGGGTCCACAAAACATGCAAACCAACCAACGCCCTGCCGGCCGTCTTCTTTTCGGCCGGGAGGCGCACCAGCTTGCGAGGTGCCCAATCAGCCTGTCTTCTTGCGCCGACGGCAGCGATCAAGGCACAAATGCCAATGCCAAGCACCACGAGGACTGTGAAGGTGATGGCCAAGGCCATCGTGGTCTGGGCTGCCGCTCGCAGGTTCCTCGCAAATGGTTCAAACACCCGCATTGCCTTCAATACAGTATGCTAATCTATGGGCATTTGCATGTATTTGCTGGTTCCCGAAAGCAGCAATAACATCGAAAGCCACAAATCAAAAGAAGGCTGCAAACGCCAGCCGCTATAGCAACAACTGAAAGCTCTGTCCGAAATCCCGGTGCAATCCCAAGGTTCTGGGGGCTTTCATGGCAACCTTGCAGTGCGAAACTCACTGCAAGGAGCACCACGACTAGGCCCAACTTCACGGGAGCACGTTGGCGCGACATCGGCGGCAACATCGGTGGCTCGCCATGCGCTGGGCGGTTCAACGGCCCTGTGATTTGAGCGCGTGAAACTGAAGACAGCTATATAAATGTTGATCAATCAAGAGAGAGGTTGTATAAGTGACCTTATAGGATAGGACCCTACTGGGGTACCTATGGGATAGTGTATAGGGTTCTTCAACCTCTGTTGGAATCTCCTGTTGAGTTGTCCCATTTTGCCTCCCCCACAAAACAAGCGCCCCCGATTCCCAAGCACCGGCCAGCGTGAGGGTTGGCTAGCGGCTAGATGCGGCTAGTAGGTGTAACAGGAGTGTCATCTCCAAGTTTCATGCCAATCAAAGGTAGCATGACATAGCAAACCATCATCGGTGACCCGAAGAATGAGCATCTGTGACCCAGTCCCCCATGATCCGCAGCATAAAACCATGGTGAATACACTTCTGATTCGTTCAGGTCGACGTCACATCTCTGGCTTTTATGCACATGGGCACGTACATGCATAGGCACACCAACCGCCAAGCAAGTCACCCACCCTTTACCTCCACACGGGGATTCGACGGATACCGAAGCAGTTCGCCAAGATCACTTGGTGACACTGGCGCCACTCCGGTTGCCATGGTGCTCTAGCACCATGGAGGCACTGTTTCGTACCAACTGTTTCATGTGCCTTTTTGTAAGGCATATCCTGGGAGCTCGTGATACCATGCTGTAATATGCTGAAACATGCTGTAATGAATTAAATCATCATCGGAAGGTCTACCAAATCATGGACATAAAGTGAAATAGGAGCTCCCAATTTCTCGAAGCATGCATATCATATGTAACTCAGACGTTGCATAAAATACGTCTTATTCTGCGGTAGAAGAGCGCGCGCATCTGTGCAGAAATTACGCTAGTCTGGGTGCTCGTGGGCCTAAATGGGGCGACTGCACCGGTGCTGGAGTGACTGCGGTGCTTCCAACACCAGGGGACCAGCACCAGGGCCTACACACCGGTGCTGGCGCAGGCGGCCATTGGCAAACATGGGTGTTGGGTGCCTGTTGCGCTGTCGGAGCCGCCCAGCTTGTAAAAACGCCTGGTCGCCAAGAAGGACGTGGTGCTGTCACCTCGCAGGAGTGGTGTGCGGGTAAGCCCTCGCCTGGGTCTCTCACACGGGGGGGCAGGTAGCAAAGTCCTGGCGTGAGACATGTGCGAGTCACAGGATGCAGTTGGCCTGTGATGATCCGCACATGCAAGCTGGCGCAGCTCAGTCCCATCCGAGTCTGGAGCAATCTGGTTGAGGTCGGGCGCGTCTGGAGTGCAGGAAAAAGTCACCAGCATGGTGTTTGGAGGCTCTGGTATTGGACTTGTTCCTTGGTCTTGTGCACCTTGGCTGCACACAGCAGCTTCAACCTCTGCTTTGGCTGTCACGAGTGTCACGGGCAAATCTGCTTGGTCGGCCGGTGCAGCAAGGGTCTCTAGCCTACGGGGGGGGCTCACTTCGATCTCCGCTGATACCGATGGTGGCACAATCACCTCTATTTGTAAAGTTTCCGCTGGGGCAGGTGGTGGGGGCGGCGGTGGTTTTGGATGCCACCAATCAGAAGTGCGAAATCTGGCGCAACTCCACTGAGGAACCCCGTGCTCGCTGGTGTACCACGTAAGAAAAGTTGCAAGAAGGAAGAACAAGAAGACCACCAGGAAGGGAAGGACGATGTCTCGGGCTGGGTGCGGCCAGCCCACTCCCGTAGCACTGGTTTCCGGCAGGCTAGGGTGCCTCACATAGCAAACATGGCCTGCCATCTCTTGGAGGGCTCTGAGCTCAATGCGGTGAATCATCCCAAGGAAAGGCGCTGTGCTTTGAATGAAGTTGGCGAGGGTCATAAAAAGCTCCACCCAGTGCAGGGCAATGGACACCAAGAGTAGGAGCATGCTGTAGCTGCAACAAGCCTTGTCCCTGAATTGATCAGAGTCTGGCTCTAAAGTCTGCTTGATCTCATCCTGGATCTGGTACAGCTCCACACCAACGCCCCCAACGGCCACGAACCTGAGACGTGCTCGAACGGTCTGGAACGGTGCCCGAACTCGAACGGATGGGCACCCTCAAAGCAGGTGTTCTCCACCAAATCCACCCACATGTCAAAAAACACGTGGATACCATTGATACAATTAATGTAGATTCTTGATGAATAAACCCAAAACATGGATTCATGGATTATGAGACCTCCTTAATAATGTTGGGTGGTTTATTCATTTAAGAGTCTGCACAAAAGTGTTCAGGAGGGTATGCAGGAATATCGCTGATGGCTGATGGCCATGGCATGCCATGGCATACCGCTACCAGTTCTGAATGAACGTTCATGTGGGTCTTTGCTGTTGCCATTGAATACCTGGCCGAACGGTGCTGTCATGTCTGCAGCAGCGAATGTCTGAGCAGTCTTGCGGAATATTGCGGCATATGATAAAACTTATCATATAGAAGTAAGAACCACCAAATACTGCATATCCTTGCTGGTTATATAAACATGTCGGTTAACATGTGCCACAATGCTTTTGCTTGGAATCTCGCACACGCAATGCCACTTGTCGAAATCATTTGAATGTTTCCCTTTTGTTGTGACTTTACTGCGCCTTTTTCCCTTGCTCCCCTTGTCTGGATCTAACAATGAACACACATTCGGAAAGGAGCACTGGGAAGGGGGAGGGAAGAATGAGAAGGAATTTCAAGCAGAAAAAAACATGGAAGAATCAACATGAAGAAAACCTTCAAAGGAAGGGGACATCGAAAAGACACACATTAACGTGAATCCTTATAGTTACATAGACCAAGAGAGGAATAATGAATGAAATCAAAGACATGGGATACTGTAACAAAAGAAATGTAGACAAGGAGGAAATGAAAAGGAACAATCACATTGGAAGGAAAAGGGCAAACAAAAACATATCGTAAACTATAATCAACTTAGAAACAACATGCACTGTATCGCACTGTTGCATATCTATCCCGCATTCCAATTGCAAGCAGGACCCCCCATTCAGAAAGCTGCGTGCAGTTATTAACTATTTCCAGGATTTTCCAGGGAGCGAGAGTACTCAGAACTGCCGGAGTGTTCGACACCCGTCACTCACCATCTTCAACTCCCAGGGGCATCTGAATGATCACCAACCAAACACTGGTGTGCAAGGACTTCGTAACGCCCGCCAGCCAATCGTCGGCATCACTGTTGCGTGTAAAACACATGGCCTCCCTCAATTTCGTCACCACCCATGCGGCATTCAGGAGGTAAAACAGCAAGAAACCTCTTTGGAGGAGCAAAGGGATTCTCCCCAAAATATGAGGTACCAATTGAGTAATGATTTTTCTCACGTGAGAAAAATTCTTTAATTATATACTCAATTCAGGTTCAAACATATAAAAACTGATTGCAATAAATTTGAAGGGGAAACCAAAGAAAAAATAATGGTAGCACCCGAGGCCTTCCAGGAACAAGTCCACCAGGAAGCTCACGCAGCAGGCAAACAAAAAGTACTGAGTCCTCAAAAACTTCTGATCCTCCTTCTCCGTGTCATCCTGTTTCTTCTCAGCCTTCTTTTTCCCATGCTTGTAACTATACTTGATCAGAACGAAGGCTAACCTCAGTTTCATCGGACTACGTGTTGGAGGTTTTTGGACTTCTCTACCGCACAACACTTGGGACTCCCCCAAAAAAATTAAGAACCTGCCGTGAGCAGTCCGAGTCGCATGCAACATGCTGCTATGACATCCACAAGCATTTGGCCAATCTCAACATCACGCATGTGGCCGACCATTCTTTTCACCCTCTTCCAAATGGTGCAGTCTTGGTGGTCACTGCAAAAGCTCTGAGCATCCGAACTAGCGGCAGCGATCACTAGGCCTTTGCATGTTGGAATGTCTGACTGATCCATGATGCAACCACTGTGGTTCTTAAACTGAACCCTCTCTTCTGCACACTGGTCACCATGGAATTCGCTCGGGCACTCGCAGCTTCCCTGCCATTGGCACAGGCCAGAATGTTCCTCATCACAAGAGGTGTTGGTGTCAAAGATGGCACAGGACTTGCTCAGGGCCTCATCCACACCAACACATCCTCTGTAGATCCCGTTGTTCTTACACGGTGAAGCTTCAGGCACGTCGATGGTCCAGTGACAAAGGTATTGATTGTTGCAAACTCCTTAGTAGGAAAGACATGGAAAGAAGCGTGTAATTAAGATGGAACCAAAGCAAACTAGTCCCTACATGAAAATGGCCAGTAAGTATATATATATATATTAATTCAAGGTCCTTTCATGCACCAAGAAAAACCTCTGAAGCAATCCGATCTTCCTTTGCCTTGGTCCGTCAGACTTTGGCACCTGTCATTCGCCTCTGGAGAGTGTGCATAGATGCCTTTGCTCTTGCAAGCCATCCTGAAGGTCAAGCTCGGCTGCCGATAGTGGCAGGCCTCTTGCTCCAAACAAGCTTCTGCCGTTGGCGCCTCGTTGCACATCAAGTTCAGGTCTCTGAAACTGGGCCATGCAGTACACCCATAGCTCGCTTCACACAATCGACCTTCCTCGAAACAAGCGCCTTTCCTCTCCGAGTCGCTGTCACATGGATGGCCTAAGCCTGTCTCACATTGTTCCCTGGGGGAGGTCCCTGAGTCTTGAAACTCACACCTGCAGTAAGGAATGGCAGGAACAGAGCTGCTGGTCGTCACGGAGGCTTTGGACACGGAGAGGTCTGCCTGGGTTGTCTGGGTTTCAGTGGTGGAGGTGTTCGTCCAACTTGTTGTCGTTGCTGTCGTCGGAAGAGGGAAGGCCGGCGGTTCGCGGGTTGACCCACAGCCGTGCAACGCAAGGATCATGCTGAGAAGGATCCTTGGATTAGCTGACTGAACCGGGCCAAAAGATCCTTCTGCACTTGAGGCAAAGTTACAGTCTTATAGACAAAGGATGACAAAGGCTATTGTTGGACTATATATATAGTCTTTTGAACCTCAAGGGGTACAAAATCCACCAGAAAGGGATAGAATCGGATTTGTTTTTGCTGGGGCTTCCGGCCTTCTTTGCCGACAGAAAGGGGATTGACCTGTCCGGGACAAAACAAAACGATCCACCAAACCCAGGACTCACAGTGAGAGCAGCTCTTGCACGTCTCATGGCTCGCCATGGCAGAAGCTTCGCCCGAGTGAGTCAGGACCTTGGAACCCTACAGTAGGCCCTACAGGATTCTTGGCACAACATGCCTGAATGTCTTATCTTCAAGCCGTGGGCCCACATGCATGATGTGAGCGCTATGTCTATGTCTTCCATTCCCATTTCCAGTGAATGAGAGTGTTTGGTACAAACATGTTGCCCGAAATATTGACAATGCCTTGAGCATGTTTCAGCTTCTCTGTGTGCGTGGGGTAGTCGGGCAGTCGTAATGTGATAGATTCTCGTTCCTCAAGAAAGTCTCTTCTATGAAAACTCTGACAAACTGCAAAGACAACTTGAGTTCTTCGCTGACAGCCCTGGAGTCCCGTCTGCTACATCTTCTCTGACCACAGCCGCGGCGAGAGCTTGGTACGCAGGCATGGGTGATAGGTGGTGGGTTGTGGGGTCGAGGGTCTCCCGACGCGATGTGCATGGACCGTCCATCCCTTTGAGAAACCGCATGGCACATCGACCACTGTAGAGGAAACTGATCTTCCACCACGGGTGTAATTAGTCATCTTAGTAGATCCACTGTCCACAAACATTCCCAGTGCTCCGGTGAGCTCTCGCTCCGACGAAGGGCCAACACTGGACCGGCTGCATCATAGTGGCGGCAGTGGCTTGCTCATGGCCGCCAACCTTTTTGTTCTGCTTCACTGGTTGGTGTTTTAGTCAGAAGGTCCAATCATCCCCAAGTAAGGGTTGAATATACACATATCCGAAACCATCACCTAGTTCACTTTGTTGATCATCTGATGTATCCTGGACGCTCGGTGCAACCTTTGCCTCTCGTCAAACGGCTCGTCACGACCCGATGTCCCTCCCCACGCTGCCTTCACGAGTGAAGGCGGGTCGCCCGCCGGGAGAGGCTGGTTCTCTCCTGGACTGGGCCAACGACTAGCCAGCCGACCCTCAGGAGACCCGACACCCAGCGCCATGCCAATGATCAGAGATGGCACCCGACAAGGCCAAGAAGGCCAGCGGTGGTTGTTGTGGCCAGAGGTGGTTTTGTAAGCTGTCGTGAAACACAGGATGCGTGCCACCAAATGGACTCCCAGGTACAGGATACACAAAGCGCACCATATATGAATTCATAGTCTTGGTATGTGTTGGTAAGGACCACCAGCTAAACAAACCACCACACATACACCATGGCCCAAAGTAGAACAATAAGATTTGATTTGATGCTTGGTTCCAGATGGTTCCAGGCTAGGGTTGAGTGAAGAAACCCCGCACCATAGGCTCCAATCGAACACCATGTGCCGGGTTCCTTACAACAGTAGCATCAAGCAGCGCTTGATGGATATTAAGGTTGTTGGCCAGGGCTTCTTTCGATTCATCCAGGATCCTGATTTCTGGTCGTGCATATCCTTTCACCAAGCGCATGAGAACAAGAGCCAGGCCCCATGGAAGTTCAAGCTAACAAGGGAACGCCTATTGCCGCAAAATAAAACACCAAACCTGGGTTCGCGGCCCCGACCACGACAGTCGATACGTTGGTTCAATGTCGTACACAGAATATCTCGTGGGAAATCACACCTCAAAGTGGAAGGTTAACTACTCACAAGTTCACAAGGGGAGGGCAACAATATATAGACCCCCAATGTAAAAAGGAAAAAACAATAGAAAACTTTGATGGAGGAAATGCATTATGTATTAAATGTCTTGAAGAGAAAAATAATTATAGAGAAACTCACGGAGAGGAATTAAGACAAACAGCAAAAGAAATGTATGAAAAGAACAAAAAAAACACATACTTGCCATATGTAAAGAATACAAAGAACAACAAAAAGATACAATTCTTGAAAAGAACAGTATCGTGAAGACCACAAAGAAGAAATCAAAGATAAAAAGAAACAATACTATGAACTTCGAACAGAACAAGGAACAGATACAAGAGAAAAAGACACAATACAACAGTCTAAAAATTGAATGTCCTGTTTGTAATTTTTTAGTTGGTAAATATACAATTAAAAGACATGAAGAGAGTCAAAAACATCAACTAAAACTGAAAGGTCAAGAACAAACAAAACAACACCAGCAAACAATAGACTATCCAAATGCTAATTTTCCATTCTACCAAGAATACTAACAAACTTCTTAACAAAGAACATGTTTCAAATGGTCCACATCTGGTCAAACACATAAAAGGTAGGTCCCGGGGGGGGCTAGTATATATATATATATATCCATTTGGGGACTGCTATATTTATATCCTTATAAGCAGGGTGACCCGAAGCCTGGTAGATTGGTTGCGGATCTGACGGCGCTGTTTCTATCAACTGTCCCACGGTCACATGCGCTGACGACCACCCCAGTGGGGTAGAAGAATGGCATTGCGGCATTGGAATCAAACTGACCCTGTCTGTTTACCCCTAACTGCAATGGCCTCAATAGGAACATGATCTAACAATAATTTATCACAAAAACACCGACCCAGAAACCAGAAACCAGAAACCGTTTCGAAGGATTTCGAAAGATTCTTCTAGCACTGCAACCCGAGGCATGACTGTCACATCAAAGATCTCTGCATCTTGAGATAGACAGCTTTTCTCGAACAAGCCAAGGAGCAAAGCAGCAAAACATATTCCCCCGAGTCAATTCATCCAAAGAAAACAAAATGAACGTTGGCAACACCGCCATCCACCACCCATCCGCGGTGTCGCCTGGCTGCCCACATCCGCCGTTAAGCAGCTGAAGCGCCGGTCGAAACGCCAAGGCATTCGTGACCAACCTGGAGCACCAACATCAACGGAGTTGAGTCCAACATATGGGGAGTACAGGTAATGGATGTTTATCACCCTCACTAAAAATGGATCCAAGAGGTACGGTATATAATGGAGAGTCTTTATGGGGAGTACAGTGTACAATGGATGTTTATCACCCTACAGGTTATGGATCCCAGCGGAGCGAAGCTCGGAGCTTGTACTCTCTCTACAGTCTTTGTTCACTGTCTCAATCAGATCATGGATAATTGTTGAGTCAACAGTATATGAGTACATAATAACTTTGAAGGTCCCTCTTTTCATGTCTAAATGTGAAACATGTCAACTCTACATTTACAAAAACTCCAGACTGGATTCATGCACAGGATTCATGCACCAGTCAAAGGCTGGGAAATGTTATCTTATGTTCTCTTTATATACAGGGTCAGGACTAGGGATGGGCCAGGAACTTGGCCAACTGAGTTCAAGATGTGTTGCAACAAAGTGGCCTTGCTGCTGTAGATGAGTCTCCTTAAACTGCTCAGTATTCTGCAAAGACAGGAGACGTGAGATCTTTCTGCTGGTGTCTTGGAGCAAAGAACTGTCAAACAAAAACGGGTGCTCTTTTTTTTACGAGTTCTGTTCACCTGCCTGATTTAGCAAGCACCTGCACCTGAACAGGCGCCATCATCTTCTTTGCCCACAACTTGTTGGTTGCCTCGCTAAGCTCTTTTGGGGAGTGTCATTTACCACACCGCAGGGTTGGCTCAACTCAAGGACCCCACCCCACCTTTGTCGGGTTCAGACGCACCGGTTCCGACCGTCACGTATTATGACAGTGCCTTCCGACGACCGCGACCGCCACGGCGTTTTCTGCCGCAACTTCTTGTTGCGCCGGCCGAGCGTTGTAAAGCAGCTCGTTATCTACATTTATCTCTGGGAGCTTGACGAAATATATCGCAAAAAAAAAACATGCTTATTCCAACAGCCACTTAAACAATACAATTGAACCACATAAAGAAAGGGCAAACCGCTCCCAAAGGAACAGCAAACATGGCAAGCACTTGCATACAGTCTTCTTTGCTGCGCTGGTGCTGATTATACTTTGATTCCATCTTCTTCGCGCGTTGTCAGACCGAGCGGCTCCTCATCGACCAAACACCTCATGATCGGGAACAACTCCCTGGTGCCCGCGGTTGAAAGCTGTGGCTGGCGGTCCGGACGGGCGAGCTACCATCGCTTCCAGGTTCTGTGACTGCGGGCACTGCGGGCACTGCGGGCCTACAGGGCCCCTTGGAATCTCCGGAGTGATCAAGGCTGACGCCTGTGATCCGGTGCGACGTGAATGTGCGGAATATCCGGCGCACAAATAGCAGGCTGAAGCTGATCGGTGTTCGCGCGAGCCAGCTCCAGCTTCTGGAGTTGGGAGATGGCGAGAATCACCTGGGCGTGGAGGAGTGCAAGGGACCGAAGTGATCTGGCCCATTGAGACCGGCGCTCTCTGTTCGGCATTGTGCTCGACGTGGCCGACTGGGCCGTTGTCCTTTTGGCGGACGCCATCGACCTCTTCAGCCATCGCCAGTAGCTCTGCCAAGTTTGGGGGTCTCTGTTCGCCTCCGCCGAGCCTCTCCCGAGTCGCCACATCCACGAGGTCGCAGGTCGCTTGCCTGGCCGCTGCCTGAAGTCTTTGTCGCTCGGCGAGTCGCTTGGTAATTCGCTCGCGTGCGGCTTGCAGAGTGTCCTGCCAAAAGGGGAGATCCAACGGCCACCAGGGGGCCTTAGATTCCTTAGATGGCCTTAGGAGGATGGTCTGGGAGGTCAAAGTGTATACTTCGTACATGTCCTACTTGGAGCAACCTTTGTGTACACAAGAAAGGCGATAGATCAAAACACGTGCTTTTGGTTGAAGCTGTCATGCCAAAAAAGTGCGGAAGGGCTGCAACTTGACTTGAAAAACAAGGTGGACATTTGCTGGAATATAGCGGAAATATACTGCAGAAACTTGTGGACTGAACATTTGCAGCATCTTGAACCCCTCACAAGCACTTCAGCTTGACCACACCGCTTCTTGAAACCCAATCCACCGCAGAAACCTGAGAAGAGAATCTTTATCCAGTGAATTTGTGGTCCAAGTCTACCTCTCCGAGGACCCCATCATAACATACATTATGTCATTTGTTTCGTAAAAAGTTTCTCATATTCTTAGGGGGGTCCAGCATTGCATTGTTTCTTACGCTTTGAACTATCGTGCCGTGTTTTTGGCAGGTCCAGGCGGTCCAGGTATGTCCTATAATGGTCTTTGGGACTGAAGTCCTGGACAAAACGGAAAAAGACACACATCCAGTCGTCTCTGGAAGATCCTGTGATGACCCCCCAATTCATAATCCCAACCACCACGTGTCCCGCGTCAAGCCACATCTGGTGGCTCAGCCCCTAGCCCTCAGTCCTCCATTTCAGGCTCAACCAGGCCAATGGGCTCAACTCTGCCAGACTGCAGCCGAGATGGGCGAGAAGAGCTACTCACAGCTGGGCCAAGTGCCCAAACATTTGGCGTACTCTCCTCGCACGCCCTTGGCACCAAAGGCCCGGTGCTTCTGGGCCGCTCAACTTGCGGCAGTTCGCCCAGAAGCACCTCCACACGGCTGTCGCAAGGTGTTCCATCTGTAATCACCATGGGCACCATGGTGTTAGGTTGGCAGGGTGCGCTGACGATCTCCAGGCTTTCAGGTGGTGCGAGCCTCACTTCAACCTCCACGGCCTCGACGTCTGCAGGTGGGGGCGGTGGGGATGGTGCCGGTGCCACGGGAGTCTTCCACCAGATCCGCCGAAGGAGAAGGTTGCAGCAGCACACCTGTGTTCTGCACGGCTCATGAGTGAGAAAGTGTGGCATTCCATAAGTGCTCATGTACCGTGTGAGTATGGCGGCAAGGAGGAAGGACACCAAAATGAACATGGTGGGCAGCACGATGTTGCAAACAGGATCTGGCCAGCCCACGCCTGAGGCAGTGGTTTCGGGCAAATCTGGATGCCTGCTGTAGCATGCATACCCAAGGGTCATAGACCTGAGACCCAAAACACTGTGCTCAAGGTCTCCAACGATGGTGATGAAGACAGACTCAGTGTTCTGCCATAGGTTCCAGGTGCCCAAAAGGATTTCCAGCCAAGGTGTTAGAAGGACCAGTATAATGCAACCTCTCGTCAGCCAAGATGAGCTTGACTCCAAGGGCTTGGCACAAAACCCCAAGAGCCCAGAGATCGCACAAAGGTTGGAAGCAAGGCCCAGCAAGGAAATGATCCTCGACATTCTGCCAAAGTGCCAACAGTTCTGAACTGGAAACCGTAGAGACAAGGAAAGAGCCTACTAGTAAACAGTCAACAGTCTCTCAAGTGCAGTAGAGACAATCAAACAATTGTGAATATCTTGTCTGCATTGAGGCAGAAAAGAACATCATTTGGGGCAACCATCAGCAGTTCCAAAGGGGTGCCTCTTGTAGGGTAAGGGTGCCCAAAAAGTCCATTCACTTGTAGAGGCAAAAGGCTATGGAACTCCAAAGGGTTAAGTAATGTTAAGCATGTTGAATGCAAAACCAAGTGGCATCTGAATGATCACAAGAATTCTGCTTCTCTCCAAGGCATCTTGCAATTTCACCAGCCAGCCAAAAGCATCACTGCCGGGTGAAAAACACATGGCCGCTATGACCTCCGTCAAGGCCCCATCAGTATCCCCTGCATAGCCAAGCACAAAGCCTGGCTGGATTTGCAGAAAGTACCCCTAGGCCTAGGCCTTAGGCCCCTAGGCCTCCAAGTGCAGTTTGTTGAACAAACACGAGCAATCATTAACAAACCGTTTTCCAACACTGTAACACACGTGAACACTAAGGAGGAAACTGCATGTGGGAGATTGCATCGTGCTCCACAAAGTAATGGGCAATCCCAAATAGTCAAAGGGGGGGAATTAATTCTTAAACACCGGGAAATGATTCTCAATTCAATTCCTGAATAGTGTGGCCAGTGTGGCGGTCGGAATCACAACATTAAACCATCCAACATGTTTCCCCTGTCGCGGCCCAACTGTCCTTCCATGAACAAGTCTGTGATGAAGCTCACACCAATGGCCCAAAAGAATCCCTGCGGGAGGCGTTTCGGAAAGGGCATCCGCTTGGGAAACAGGCTCGCAGGGCCGCTTCTGAAAGGGGCCCGTAAACAGTATAACACTGTATAAGCAAGGCCGTTCTGTTTCATTTGCACTGAACAGAAACATTGGGCATCGCAACGCAATTTGATTCGTACAAATAAGATATACAATAGCTAGCTGTTATACAACAACATCGCCGTATCTTCAACACAACAAACATTTCACCATCCGAACAACCAAACTGTGAAGTGATTATCACCTTGTCACCTTGCGAAACCCAACAATGAGTTCGGGGCTCACCCACCTCTTGCGCAAGGTGCCCCTGCAAAAGACCTATCATTGTTGGTCATGTCAATTCCCTGAAACTGATTCAAGGACATGAACTGAATTGTTGATCGCTTTGGCCCGTTGCTCCTGCCTGATTCTTGGGGAGATCTTTTTCGCAGCCACATGCCATGAAGAATCCTGTAAGCAATGCCACTATGCTATCCACAATCAATTGGCCAACCTCCACTTCACGCATTTGCCCTAGGAAGTTCTTCAGTCTCCTCCAAGTGCTGCAGTCTTGAGCATCAGTGCACAAATGCTGATCCTGCGAGGAGGCAGCAACCACTAGGCCTTTACAAGCAGAAGAGTCGCCGTGCGAAACGCATGAGCCACCACGGTCGGTAAACTGCACCAGCTCTCTCCCACAATCCTCACCGAAGAATTCAGCTGGGCATTGGCACCGGCCTTCCCATTGGCATAGGCCACATGGCTCAGCTTGACAGGTGGCAGCACTGTTGTAGATCCCACATGATTTGTTCAGTGCCTCATCCACACCAACGCAGCCAAGGTAGATGCCATTGTTTTTGCAGGTCGATGCTGTCTCTTCGTCCATGGTCCAGTGACAAAGACATTGATCGTTGCACGTTCTCTTACCCTGGGCAGTGAAACTGTCGCACCGGTCATTGGCATCCGGCGAGCTGGCATAGAGACCTCTGCTCTTGCAAGCCATCCTATACTTCAAGCTCGGCGGCACATAGTGGCACGCCTCCTGCTCCAAACAAGCTTCTGCTGTTGTCGCCTCCTTGCATGCGGAGTCGAGGTCTGCATATCTGGGCAAGGCGATGCACCCAAAGTTTGCCTCACACAAACGGCCTTCCTCAAAACAACGGACCCGATCGATGTCACTGCGATCCTCACATCGATCTCCGGTGCCCGTCTCGCATTGCGTCTGCGAAGCCGAAGCGAACGAGAAGTCGCAGCGGCAGTAGGGGATCGTTCCGGTCGAACTCAGCGTGTGGGTTTGATTGGATCTGCTCCGCACTTGCCTGGCAGAATCAATCAAGTCAGAAACGAGGAAGTCAAGCTGAAATGGAACCAAGACTTTAGCACTATCTATAAAATTCTATTATGATGGTTGACCTTCATCCATGGCGGTCAAACTTGTGAACTTTGGCCAACTGAGCTTCCTTTGACTTCTACTCGTCCTCCCTTCGCTGCCCACCCTGCAGGGAGACGTCCTTCCCCGCCCAGCTCGCGTCACGTGGGCCCCGCCGAGCTCGAGGCCGAGCGCGATCACCGCGATCCGCCACGGCATGGCTCCGCCATGGGGTCCGGTCCGGTGTCCGTCCGTGCGGACGCCCGGTGAAGAACACGAACGAGAGCTCTCGGTCCGGTCGGTTTCCAGCTGGCAGGAGCGGGATGCTGCGGAATGAGGGGATGAATTGGATGAAGCGGTTTTGGGCGGTTGATGGTGTGGCTGGCCACCTGTTGTGCTCAATTTTTCTTTGCACGAAGGAACGAGCTGCTGATCCTCGAGCACGAAAACATGTGAAGACATGCTTATCGACGTTCCCTGTGCAATCCTAGTTGCAGTAGTATTTTCGATATGATTCGATTGTTCCAACACGTTCCAACTAACTATATACATTCTCATGTGTACACATACCATCGCACACCTGCCTGCACATAGTAGATTGCAGTCAAGTCGTGCTGTTCCGCCTGAGTCGGGTTCGACCCCAAAGACAGCTCCCAAGAATGGGCGAGGGGCAAGCAGGGACTCCAAACTAATCAACCTAGTTCAAACACCAAGTTAATGATCCATGAGATATATGCTGAATGCATAATATGCCTATGATATGCCATTGTGTGCAAGAGCGTCTTGTGTCATGAAAAACAGCGCCCGGCATAAATCTGTTCGGACACCAAACATACCAACAGAGGTTAAGTGACCTTATAGGACCCTACCAGGGTACCTATGGGATGGCTTATAGGGTTCTTCAACCTCTGCTGGTAGGTCAGGTCAGGTTTCGGCATACGATCTTACAACAGTCACAGTCGCACCCACCCCGCTGGGGGCCATGGCGCCGACCGGGTGACCGGGTGCCTTAGTCCGGTCGACCGGACGAGAACATGCGCGAATACAAGACTTGAGGTATCCCATTGATTCAATGGCGCGATGTCCATGGCATTTTCATGGATAGTCCGCTGGATTTTGGCATTTCAAGCTCAATTCCTGGACATCTTCACAGCCAAAACTTCCCTGCGGAACTGTTCCCCTCGTGGTGACTCGTGGTGTGATCTGAACACTGCATGTATATCATTGTATATCAAGCGTCGTAGGGCGTGCTGCATCTCTCTTGTAAAACCGTCGCCTCTCCCATCCTAGTGACTAGAAGCCTTGGCGTTGTTTAGCAGTAGCTTGGTTGCTCTTGGGGTCTTCTTTGTTGCTAAGTTGAGTATTAATGTGTGCATGATGGCGCTATTCAAGCAAAAGATGTTGCTAAGTTGAGTAGAAGAGGTTGCTCAAGTACAAAAGGTGTTGCTAAGTTGAGGAATAGGTGCGCATGCCGTCAAAGTACTGTCTGGTCAGCATTGTGACCCTTCACTGGTTTTATATGTTTCGAGGTGGAAAGGGAACATTGAAACTGTGTCATGTTCCATAAGCCAGGTGTAACCAGTGCCAGTGCAACGTCCAAGGTCGAAAACCTCCAAAATTTCCAAGAAACAGCAGAGAACGGCTTGTTTGCTCTACGGTTTTCCCGGAAACTTTGATGCTTTTCGCCTGTCCCATCCCGAAACACTCAGCCAGACTTTTCGCTCGCTGATCGCTGTCTTTTAGGAAGAGCTCTGAGTCTGTCCCTGCCACGGCCGATCTACTGCAGCTCCCTCAGCGTCGCCTCCCACAGCTGGAGCAGGGGGGCTGTTGTCCTTGGACGACCCAGCGCCTGACGAGTCAGGATCACCACCATCCGGACCGCGGTCTCTGGTCTTGCGCTCTGGGTCAGCACGCACTGGTGGGGCGGACCGTGGTCCTTGCTTGAACTCCTCGTCACCAGGCCCTGTGCTACCCTTTTCTTTCAAAAGTGTCAGACCAGGGCGCCAAGCCTTTTTTCCCTGGCTCTGCCAGTAAATCAGGCTGGCCTGAGCGGCGGTGTGAGTGCCAGCCTCACTCGCCGCCCCCCACATTTCTGCCACACGCTTTGCACCTGTACTCAGCACGCTTTTTATTCTGCAGGTCAGCCTTGGCTGGCTGTTCTGGCGCCTAATCCACCAGAGCGTAGTACCCTGCGTTCGTTGGGTCTGTGTTCCGGGTTGCAGCAGCCGTGGCTGACTCACTTGCCGGCGAAGTCCTTTTTGTACTTGCCTTCTGGCTGGGACCCGTAGATCTAGGCTTGGCCGAAATCGCCAAGGCTGCCAGTTTTACGTTCTCCGCACAAAACGGCCTTCTTCCTTTGAAGTTCCTTTTTAACGGTCGCTGGGTCTTCTCCTTTCTCAGTCCTCTCGGCGAGCTCTTTCAGTTCAGCCTTGTTCAAGCGCCATGCGGAGATGTTCCGGATGTCAGAGGCCGTCATCGCAGTGGCCAGCAACTTAACTTCAACGTGTTTGTCAACGACTTCCTTCAAAAAGACTTGAAGCCAACAGCAAAGGCAAAAGTGAAAACAGATCAGTGAGAATGCCAAATGCGAGGATGCTGATGGGAAGGACACTCAATTCTTTAACATTCGATTCAATAACTACTTATAGATATAATCTTAGTTAACATCAGGAATCAGGAATCCAATGGGTAAGGACAGTGGTCGTGCAACCGCTAAACGTCGTGCGGCTTACCCGGATCTGGCCCGGGCTGGGATTCCGAGTAAGACTAGTAGGCACCGCTCTTTCCCGCTGCAACGGGCATGAGTACGAGGAGTGAGGAGGTCTCACTCCTCTTACTCGAGTCTGGCCTAGGCTGGGAGTGGGTAAGGATAGTGACAAAACATGCGGCCGTGATGGCGTGGTGATTGCCCCACTATGCTTACGACAGTCCCTACTATCCTTACCCGAGTCTGGCCTGGGCTGGGAGTGGGTAAGGGGAGTGAGGAGGTCTCACTCCCCTTACTCGCCTCCGTCGCTGCGGCCGCCGAAAAAAGCTGTGACGAGCTTCATTTTGGACCTCGTCCCGGCTGGGCTGTTCGGTCGAACAGGCGGTCACTCAGCGTTGCAGCGTCCGGACCATTGGCAACTAGTCTCCAATGGTCGTCCTGTGCACTGAACTGAACTAAGCGAGCGTGCGTTAATCCTTTCATCAACACACTTGCCAAGACATTGATGCTCATTGCATCGCCAAGGCTTGCATCCACTGCGCGCGCAGGAAGCTTGTGTTTCTCGGCCGCCCTTTGCATGGCTTTCGCAACTTTCTTTGGCGCTCCTTGTAACGCAGCAGCTTCCTCAAGAAGCAAGCGGCGCCGAAGCTTTGGGATATAATATCATCCTTGTCCCAAGCGTATGTTCGCCAGGCACGGTGCGCAGTTTGTCATCACTGCTTGGAAGGGCCGCCTTTTTTCCAAAGTATAGCTGATCTCATCTAAAACAGCAGCAACTTGTTCCAGAGTGAGCTGACCTGAAACACACATGTCCGTAAACAGTCACAATTTGTCTGTAGACGCCGTAGACTTTCAAACCTTGTCTGTCTTTTCTTACCTGTCGACAAGTCAGTCCGAAGACATTTTCCTGATGTGTCCGTAGACTATAGGCTTCACCTGTCCGTAGACAAGTGCAGATCTGTCCTTAGACAGACTAGTTAATTAGTTATGTCCGTGGACATCAAGTCAATACCTCCTTAGAGGTTCATTCAATTTGGTCCGTGGACCTTGGATCATAATCGGTAGACAAGTCCAACCTTAGGGTGAGAGGCTACGATTCCATGGCAAGGTAAGCAGGATGCAGCTGCGGCGGTGACAAAACTCACTGAACCAAAAACCCTGCCGAGGCGCCAGGAGGTTGCAATGAATTCAAGGCGTCGAAGTTGGACTTATCGCCGCAATCTCGGACTTATCACCACAATCCCCACATATGTTTTCATTCAAACACAGGAATAATATATATATATATAACATCTGTATAGTATGGGGTGGGCGACCTTACTGTTACTTCTTTCTGTAAACATTCAATGTACGGATATCACCTGCGATGCTGGGCAACACTATGCCCCTAAAAAATATGTTATGTCAAATAGTAGTTAGGTTGAGACAAACATAGGACCAAAACATTGGATCAAACATATGGATGTGAATGTCTCAGGTGGATTGTTTTGATAGATAACAAAAACAAACCTTAAACTGGTCACACTGTCAGGACCAGTTTCATTGTCAAACATTGGAAAGTTACAGGGCATCAAACCAATGAAGGGTCACAATGCTGACCAGACAGTACTTTGACGGCATGCGCACCTATTCCTCAACTTAGCAACACCTTGTGTACTTGAGCAACATCATGCACACCTCTTATTACTCACCTTAGCAACACCTTTTACTTGAATAGCACCATCATGCACACCTCATTACTCAACTTAGCAACAAAGAAGACCCCAAGAGCAACCAAGCTACTGCTAAACAACGCCAAGAAGCTCGCCTTCGTCCGCATCGACTCGGACGAGCGCTCGGTCGACCGCTCCCCGCAGATCCCTTGGACGGGCAGACCTTCGTCCTGGACGCTTGTCAACGAATCGCACCTGCTCAGCGAAATGGCCGGTCACGCAGCGGAGTCGGCGTGTTTTTTTCTTTTGGATTTTGAACAGGAAGCCGCTGGACTGCGCCAGCAGCAGCATCCACGAGCAAGCTGGGTTTGGAATGGGAGAGCATTGAGCAAGCAGCTTGCCATTGAGCAAGAAGCTTATGATAGCTACTTATGCACCTCCTGGGAGTTCATTTATTTCTGGTTTAACCACGTATTCCACGTGGTAAAACCATCTGAACACCCGATCCGGTCCCTTTGGGATCTGGTCGGCCGATCACAAATTCTGCATGTCAATTGGCGGCAATGATAATGGTACTGGGATGTGCTAGGCACTGTTCTAGGCATGCATCCAAGTCTGCTGTGCTTCATGCAGTGTGACTGGAACCACCACCCGGGAGCCGTAGAGCTGCGGCCAAGAGAGGAGCGAAGGTGCCGCGTGAGCTTGGGGTGGCATAGGTACCGCGTGTACTGCCACAGCTCGCCCTGGATTCACGTGGAGCTGCGGTCCGGGATGAGGTGACTGGCCCGAGCAGGCACAGGTCCGTACAGCTTCACATGACGTTTGATCTCTTGAGTGCCAAAGTCCGGTGGCTCCAGGTGGTGCAGCTCCAACAGCTCCAGCTGGCAGCATGCCATGTGGACATGCTAAGCTTGGAATGGTCCAAATCACATTGATCTCCCCTAAGGCTTGGTGACAAGCTCCGAAAGCACAAGGTGCTTCTGGAGGTGGTGGTGGTGGGTCATCTTGCGCTTGGTCACCCATGTCTTTTCCATGGCGTCTGCACCACGTCACTGCAACAGCGATCAAGTAGAACAGCAAAACCACCAAGCCGGCCACCACCATGTTGAGAATGGGATTCGGCCAGCCTACCCCACTGGGGGTCGTGGGAGGCAAATCAGGGTGCCTCACATAGCAAGCATGGCCATCTTTCATGGGCTTCAGCTGCAAAGCGCTCAGCTCAATTCGTTGAATCCCCTCCAGAAGCACGTCGGTGTTTTGAAAGTAATTCCACAAACCAAGAGCCTTAGCATTTGCAACATGTGGAGCTGATCTGAGCATCCAGCACAGATTCCAAAGGTATTGTCAGTCAAGCTTTCACAAGACGTCGAAACACACAACAACAAACACATGCACGAGCGTGCATTTAAGGCAATCCAAGCAACTAGTTCGCCAAACAACATTCCAACGATACCCAAGACACGACAAAGCCTGTAGAAATTCCATGTGGAGGCTTGCCGAACCAGCTTGGAGCCATGAAGGCATTTCTTCGAGTCATCCGGCTCTTCCTTCTGGTCAACCGCTGCGTCCGGCTGCTTCTCTTGAGAAGGTCTTTGGGGCGAGCCTCACTTGGAATGAAGATCCAAAAAGGTTGGATGGCCCAAGCTTAAAGCTTGGAGGGCTATTGAACATGATTCAACTTTAGTGTATATTCCATGACCAGGGCCCAGGGGATGATGATGGTTAGGCTAGGTGGCAGGCCTTTCCCAAATATAGTGAACCACCGGACATGGCCTATTTACTTCAACTCTTCAACGGAACTGAAGCTTAGGAGCCGAGGCTGTTGTAGTCCTTGAAGAACTCATAAATCTCAAAGGCAGTGCCAACCACAGCCAGTCCCCTGGGCGGCTGTGTTTCGGGATGTTGGAAGAAAGCTTGCACTATAATCTATTCAAACATTTCCAGAACCCAAAGACACTGGTAATTTCAGGAAGTGCACTTCGAAGACAGAAATGCCTCCTTCTGCCACAAGCGACAACGCGAGGACACATGTCAAAATGGATGAACATAAAACATCTTAAGCCAAACCAAGCTGACACCTGCCCAAACGCTAGCCGTAAGCTCGATTCGGCCACCTCACTCAGTTTCACAAGCAATCTGGACGCGTCGCTGTTTGTAGAAAAGCAATCGGCTCCTGATAACTTCTCTACTTCCTTTGATGCTTTCGACACGTAAATCAGAAGAAACACTTCCAGGACAATATCTGCGAAAAAGCTCACCAGGGTGGCGAGAAAAATGTATGTCCGTTCAAAGTTCCCTGGAAGAAACTCAACCATGATGACAAAGACCCCCATAAACACCAGTGCAATGGCATCAACAATCATGTCACCAATCTCAACTTCCCGCATTTGGCCAACCAAGCTCTTGACCGTGTCCCACGTTGTGCAGCTTTGCGCCTCACTGCACCGACGAGGATCTTCCGACGAGGCTGCTACAACCAGGCCTTTGCAAACTGCAGAGTCTGAGACGGTTTGATTGCACGTGCCCTCAGGCTTGAACTGCACTACCTCCTTTCCGCAGTCCTCCCAGAAATACTCAGTTGGACAATCGCACAAGCCTCGCCATTCGCACCGCCCAAACAAATCAGCTGTTTGACAAGAGGCGTTGTTGTCGTAGATGGCACACCCTCTGTCAAGTTGCTTCTCCAAACCTACACATCCAACATGAAGGCCATTGTTTTTGCAAGGCTGGTCATCATACTGCTCAATTGTCCAGTGACACGACTTTTGATTGTTGCAAAGCTCTCTACCTTGATCGGTGTAGTTTGCACATACGGTGTTGGCGTAAGTGTTGTTGGAGTCTGGACCAGTGCTCCTGCAAACCATCCTGAACTTAAGACTGGGAGCCTGATAGTAACAATGTGCCTGCGCTTCACATGCCTCTTGCATCCGAAAAGTGGAGCATTCCGTCTCAAACTCGGGTCTGGTGATGCAACCCATGCTGCTATCGACTTCGCACAGTCGGCCCTCTTCAAAGCAAATGCCTAGATCAGTGTCCGAATCACAAGAAGTTCCAAAGCCAGTCTCACACTGCAAGTCCTTGGAACCTCCGGCTGTACACTTGCAATATGGGGTGGCCACCAAGGTGGAGGTCGATGTTGTTGTCGATGTTCTTGTAGTTGTGAAGCTCACCGTTGTTGTCAGCGATGACAACGTCATCGAAGAAGCAGTTGAAGTCGTTGCCGTCTTACTCGTGACCGTTCGAGTTGATACTGTCCCGCTACTCGTCGTGGTCATAGTCGTGGTGGTGGCGGCTATGCAACACTCTTCCACGCCAAAGCCTTGCGCTGCAGGTAGCCAACCATCAAGGCAAAGGTCCGGCTGCATGATGAAGAGGGTGTCACACGTCATCTCTGAGCTGTAGGCTGCATAGGCGATCCAGGAGCTAAGGCCACACACAAAGAAGATCACAGATATGCCACAGCAACCGCAAAAAGGGCAGGTTCCTGAATCTTCATCGGCGCAAGCGGCGACTACGATGGCAGCAACGACCGCAATGCCAAAAAGCACTGTGGAAACCACAGCAAACACATTGGTGAATTCCGCCGCTGCTCGCAGGTCCTCAGGCTTCTCATGGCAGCCGTGGAGGGTGAACAAGGCTGCGAGAAGGAGGATCACCAAAGCACCCCTTGTTGCAAGCATGGGGCGGCATATGCCTAAGGCAAGCCAACCCTGCAACGCTTGATCCAGCCAGCCTGTCTTCCAGACATGCAATCATTTAGCAAAGATGTAGACAAAAATGTGTGGCAAATGCTGCCAATCTTCAAATTGAGCTCAATGGGGTGACCGAATTCTAACCAGCAACTCCTTCTGGGTCCGACCATTTCTCTCTAAAGGTCCGCTTCCACAGTCGAGTCTCGAGTCTCCCTTGGAGTCGGACGCACCGTAGATACTACTTTTGTGTGATCCCCCCCCCCAAGTTCATGGGGCATGCTGCTATCCGCTGAAGATGGACCTCCTGGAGAAGCATGAATGTGTTTTTGCATGTGTTTCACGTAGCTCGCGGGGATCCTCACAGAGAGCCTCACTTCTGGGGATGCCGGCCGGCTGCGCAGCCCGGAGCTGAGCCAGGGGATTCGTCCTGTCACGGTCATTGGTTAGAGCCAGGGGGAAATACTGTCCAGGATTTGCCACTTCCTGGAGCAATCCAGTGTAGTAAAGGAAAACGTACACGTTGTTTATAATATGTATAATCTTTATACAGGCCATGCCCTGCTGCCAGGATTCTTTGAGGGGGGGACCATTTGACAGGAGTGGCTCGACTGGTGATCTTTCACTGTAGATTGCCCATGGCTAGTGATTCGGCTGATCAGCAACTGGCGGAGCACAGAAGCATCTGCACTCCCAACCATCCTCAGTGACTTGAAGAAACTTCTACTAGTCCAAGTCTGGGCCTCTGATGACCCGCGCTAAGTTGATCGATGCTTGGTCACCATCCGCTTCAGGGTAGACCATCTACGAATATCTATATATATATATACCAATCAATAATAGTTCTCTAAAACAGAACACCGATCTTTCTCGAATCTGCACTCCCACTCACCCGCTGCGGAATGATTCTCCAGTCCGCTCCTGGATGTTCCCTTCACTACGGGGCCATGCACAACATCCATTTGTAGAACAACTAATTGTCCAAGTTCATCCAAGTTCAATTACCCGTTCAAAAGAAATCAAAAGAACCATGTGCTATATATATTGTCCAACCCATTGTGGATGCCTGATGGCAATGGCGGCTTGCTCACCCTCATCTCGGCATCCAAATGCTCTGGACACTTTCTCTTGCACCTTGGAGAGGGGTGGAGGGGATAGGCAAAAAGCTCCACCTCCTCACACAAAAGTCGTTGCTTCGTCACCGTCCTCAAAGTCATGAGAAGGACCCTATCAACCCATGAGAACCCTAGTCCCTGGGAGCACTAATAGTAACAAAATGACATCAGTGACGATGCCATCCAAAGAAATTTGAAGACAACAAACACCGTCTGCGCACTGTCGTTGACGGACGTTCCTTTCTGCGCGCCAGTTGACCATCATTCAGTTGCACCAGCTTCGCTGCCTGCCGTTGCGACATGGCTCGGATCTGCCGTTTCGCCAGGGCCACCAGCCGCGAGCAGTTGAGCCTCCAGTTCATCGATTAGTTTTTGCTGGTCCTTGTCCTTGGTCTTCCACTCGCGATTCTCTTCGAGGGCCTTCTGCAGTCGTAACCTCTCCTGCTCCAGCTGAGAATACACCCTGCCGACCCTGCCTGTCTCCCTCACTGCCTCAGGTTGATGGTGTTGCTCTTCGGGCTGAGCCGGGACAAAACGTGGATGACACAATCTGAAACTCTGTAGGCTTCGACTTGTTCTGGCGGATCCTTTCCATCTGTCTTCCAACCACAAATGCCAAAAAACAGAACTCGTGCTGAATACCAGACAGTCGAAAAACGAAGAACCCGCAAATCAAACAAAGGATCATCAATCATGACAAGTGATACCGCAAACAACAAAGGCGACAAAAGAAGGAGTAGCACAGTGATCCAGCGATTCGTTAACTGATGCCAAAGCCAAATGTGACCATACTTGCCGAAAACAAAACGCAGCGGAGACAGGCTCCAAAACAACATCAATCCAGGCAGCTCATTGCATTTGGGATTGGGCGCTATGGTTCGGATCGTGTCTCTGTTCTGCTTCCGCTTCTCACTGTGTGAGGCGTAAGTCCCCTTGCATTTGTCAATGCAACGGCGAAGGATGCGCCAAGGGCGTACATGCATCTCTGTCAGCATCTGTGCTCTGGACTTGGTAAACAGCTGCCGAGCATTAGACTGGAAATGTTGCAAGCTTTGCGTTAGCACAGCAATAAACATGTTCACAAGCATAAATGTAATGCCAATGCTTGTCACCAAGAAAACCACCATGATGAAGAGGTGGTCATCACCTGGCTTAGGATCTTCTGGTTCCCAGGATGTTTCATTTGTTTCATTGTCAGTTCCTTCAATGTACTTTGTGTCAGTTCCTTCAATTTCGAAAAGGTCAAAGTCACCTAGGATCCCAAGCCGAAATGGGATGGCAAACGCTGAGAAAACCGGCAACGGATCCTCCTTGCGAGGGCCAATTTGGTAGTAGGCGTGCGAGGAGGCCAAAAGACACATACCGGTGATGAAGAAGAAGGACATCGAGTTTATGATGGCTTTAATGATGGGCAGGAACCTGAGCCCAAGCCAAGTATATCCTCGAAGGCTGGCGAGCAATCTGAGCCACGCCATGCTACAGAAAACAGCCAGGAGAAACTTGTTCCAGCCTTAATCAATCTGCCACCATACCAGCTGCTGCCCTATGGCAGCCAGCCCAATTCCACAGTAAAGGGCATCAAGAACGTTGTAAGTATCAATTAATTCCATCACATTGTCCAGACCTTGATAAAACCAAAATAAGGAGCACTCAATCAATTCTTTGAAGTGCAAGGTTGCGAGAACTGTTGCCAAAACAAACTTGACAGTGTCATTGGGTTCATTGTGGTAATTGTGGGACAACCAACACAGTGAGGCCACGTTCACTAAATTCAGGAAGTCGTCGCGGGCAACGCAACCGAGATGATGGCTTTGACCACGTCCAAGTCGAGCATGTCTAGATTGTCAGTCTCGGCCAAGGCTTTGCATATTCTCCAGTCATATGCCAAGTTAGGGCACAATGGCAGCAAGTAGGGCTCCACTTGGACAACCCGAGTGTCAAATAGATTTCGATCTTCCAAATCGTTGTAATATGCTAGCTTTCTTCCATCCCCTGTCCACCAACGGACTTTGGGATAGTGCACCTTCAAATTATCCTGCGGGGCTAACACAAACCCAAGGCGCATGCTGCTGATGCTGTTTTGCACCTTGCCCAGGCCCTCCGGCTCGCGCTTCCTGACCAGTAGCGCCTTCATTCACAGTCTCCGTGGCTGCGACGTCTTGCCGACGCAGCAGCTTGCAAAGAATCTCCACATCAATTTCCTGCAACTGGGCCTTGCTCTCAAGCAACAACGTCACCACCGCCACGTTCTCGCCCAACATTGCGGCACCCAGGAGTGACACCCCTCTTAAATTGTTGAAATCCCTCCAGACTGTTGAAGAGGTCCTTCCTTGTCTCGCTCAAAATGTCATCACCAAAGCCTCTCAACAGGTACTGGACTCGGTCAAAATGACCTTCCGATGCAGCCCGCCACAACTTCAAGCCACTTGCTTCACCAGCTGGCCCGCCGTCCTCCGTCAGCTCCTCCACAATTCGCATGGACGCGGGCGTGTGACACTCGCAGTGGCAGCGTGCGGGCATGTGACGGGCGTACCCGCGGCCGGCACACACGTGGCACCCTTCGTCAGGCAGCAGTGGCGGCATTGGCGGTTGAAGTGAAGTGCCACAAACGAGTGGACGAAGTTCCGGCGCATCACAGAAGTGAGGTCCCGCCATCGAACTGTGCGCTGGCACTTCGATGCGCACGTCAAGGTCAGGCAGCTGATGCTGCACAAGGACCGGCTGCACTCGATCTGAACGTCTTCCAGCCCTAGCCACATGCATTGGTGGCCCAGGCGTGGAGTGAAACATATGGCTTACAATTAACTAGCAACTCAGGGCATTGAATAGATCATTGGATTTTGAACCAAAACATCTGTGGACCTGGATGACCTGGAGTTTGAAACTCCCACCGCCTCAAGTCTCAAGCACCCCATGTCTCAGCGACCCTCCTGCCCTATCGCTCCCTCGCAGTCGACTGGTTGCCTGGTGCAAGGCGTGGCCCGCCTCAGAGCCGTCCAGCAGTCGATGCTGTTCTTTTGGATGCGGGCTTAGCCTAAAAAACAAGTTGGGGGGCTGGTCACTTAAAGTCGTCATGTTGTTTGCACATGACTTGGCGAAGGGAGCAAGGACATGATGAGCTCGAATAGCATGGAGCGCCTTGGTGGCACACGCATTGAAGATCCTTGAAGCGTGAGCGCTTCGACTTAAACACACTGGAGCTAGACTGCTGGACTTGCTCGCACACGTCTCCGCTTCGCAGCTGCAACACATCAAAACAACCAGTGATGTAGTCAGCAGAAGTCCCCGTGCTACGCTCGTAACCATCGTACCCCCCCTGAAGAGATTTTCTATGATCCACCATTCTGGCCAACTCCTATCCATTCACTTTGTTCGTTGCTGAACCTCTTCCAAGCTCATCCGCTCGTAAGAACAACTGAATTATCTTTTCTTCGGTTGGAAATGGACAAACCACTAGCACTATGGAGCCACACTGCAAGGTGCATAGCCAGAAATCATCTCTACTCTACATGACAAACATGTCCCAAACCAGGTGGGATCTAAGCGCGAGCAACCCGAAACATGGAGCCTACGGTCGGTTGAAGAAGTAAATCATAGTAAATCCTTCTCTTCCTGATATGGCGATTCGGCCCAGCTACAAGTGGTTTAGGATATCGATGGTTTAGGTGTTCTTAGGCGGTGGCGCTCACTCGCTTTCTTCCCACCACCGGAATACTTTCCCATTCTCAATAGCCACACAGGTGGGCCTGCTGCACTGGCACCGAGGCCATCCTCTCACAAGCCCCACATCACCCCTGGCGGGTGCGTGACTGGCCAAGGCTCCAAGCGATTCGAGTGCCAAATCTGGCGGCTCAGCCGCACTGAAGGACGATCTGCAAGACTTTGGAAAGCTCTGTTTATAATATAGGTGAGCAAAGAAATGTGGTAAAACATCAGAATGTGGCCGTGCTAAAGGATACATGGAGGTCTTAGAATGGAATTGGCCCGTGGTCTTGAGTGCCAACTCTGCCATGTGATCTTGACGATTGGCAAAGCTTGTTAAAACCTATGTTGCATTCCAATGTTTGCCATCTCTCCCATTCACCAAAGCCATATCCATCAGAATCCATCCAAATCGTTTGAGTGCCAAACCTGGCAGCTAGGCTTGGCAAAAAGAAGCGCTGGACCAGTCAAACAAGCTGTACATAAGTCAAGGGTCCGTGGTTGAAAGCAGACTTCCAAAGATTGGCGGATGCAAGGCAGCATGGCCTTTCAATTGCCCGCAGCCGGGAGCTAGTCCCTGCCACGGTCATTCATTGCCAGGGAAATGCAGTCAGGATAGGGCACTTCTGGATAGAAGTGGAGCAAAGGCCATGTCCTACTTCCATGAATGAGGGAGGACGATTCGACATCTGCGGCCATGCTTGCGATCTTCACTGCAAATACCCACAGCCAGTCAATCAGGTATGCGGGTCAAGCGGGTCAACTGGCAGAACACTCACGCGTCCTCGTCACTGACCCTGCACTACATTGACCGCTTCATCTCTCAGGCCTTGACGCTTGTCGTGCATCATCCTGCATCTCTCGATTTACTACGTGGGCGTTGTTCTGCTTCTGATCTCTGGGTGCACTCCGTGTTGCCGGACGTTTGCAACATGGATTCGCTCAATTGCGGTAACCTGATCACCTACTCTACTGTACAAACTTTCAATCTGCATAATGTGGAGAGGGCTCCCAATGCTTCCACTAGCCACTATTCCGACTATACCTCAATGGCCCAAGAGTGATGCCCATAACATTCCAATGAAACTCCCCACGCAACCACTTGGTAGATGTTAATCATTCTCCAACTACCCTTTCAAAAGACTCAAATTCAATGTCAATGTCTGTCCAACCCGTTTGGCTGCCGACCACCTCTCTCGACAACCTCCATCTCATCCAAAGGATCTGTAGAGCTTATGGGGATTGCGCCGTCCACAAGGAGGGGCCCTATCAACCCATGAGAACCCAATCTCCAAAATCTTTCTGGGGAATATACATCACTCATAATTATATATATATACAATATATATAGATATAATATATATTATATAATATTATATATAACTAACTGCAGTTACCGTATAAGATTTAAGATTTGGAGACTGCACCTCAGGTCCAGTTGAAGTTGTGCATCAAACGCCAGGCTCTTGGCTTGGGCTGGAGGGGAACCCAACGAGTCCGAAGTCCCCCCAATTCCAACGGTTCCTGGCGGACGGCATTTGTCTTGGCCGCCCTCCGACTTTCAGCCAACCCCAGGGCCTCCCAGGAGAGGTTCCAGGACTCGATCCTGGCCACCGCACCGCAGCAGTCCCGTGACGCGGACAGAAACGTTTCAAGGTCGGTCCATGAGTCCATGGTGTGAGTTTTGAGGTGAATTGCCATTACAAACTGGAAATGTCGAATAGCTACGCTGCTACACAAAACTAAAGAGGAGATACCTATAGCCTCGTTTGCATGATATGCACCTGTAGCATCACAAGATACTGGGAGTTTAAGACATCAGAGTCATCGAAGCACAATAGGTTCACTTCCAAATAGAAGCAGCCTATACATAATCAATCAGGCCGAAGCATGATCACAAAGGTGCCTCTGTAAAATCCCCTTGGACGTGATGCAACCTCGCTTTACTTGCAAAATATAACACACACCTAACATATTAGGCCCCTGCCATGCAGGAAGGAAGCTGCAGCTGACATCTCGCCCTGTCCGCTGATCTTTTTGAAGACACCATGCTCCTTGGATCGTCGGAGACGTCATCATTCATCCAAGATATGGAGGAGGCTGGCTATTGGGTGCGTCGATCGCTCCGACTGAGGTCCGACTGTGGAGCGTCGTTCAGTCTCTCCTCGCCGCTGGCTCCTCCTGCGTGAGTGTGAGCTTCCGTCCTTTTGATCTTATCAAGCTCAGCTTTGTGCGCCTGATCTTTCTTATCAAGCTCTGCTTTGTGCGCCTGATCTTTCTTATCAAGCTCTGCTTTGTCCGCCTGATCTTTCTTATCAAGCTCTGCTTTGTGCTCCTGATCTCTATCATGAAGCTTCTGATGGAGATTTTTCTCGTGCGCCTGATCTCTCTCACAAAGTTTTTTTCTGTGCTCTTTGCATATATCGACACTCCATGTTCTGTGATATTCGTCTTTCTTATCAAGCTCTTTTTTGTGATCAGCGTCTTTCTTATCAAGCTCTTTTTTGTGATCTGCTCTAAGCTTTTGTTTGTACTTGTCTGTTTCTTCTTTAAGCTCTATTGTGCGAGTCTCGTGTTTCTTTTGAAGATCTTGAAGCTTCTTTTTCCATTCCTCATCCAATCTGAGTTCATGCTGACGACCAACAGTGATCGCATCCTCCATGCTTCGACGGGTCAAACGTTCCATGCTCCACGCTATATGTCCACGCTGGCTGCGATCCTCCGCGTTTTCACAGACAAAAACGTGGATGATACAGTCGGAAGCTTGCAAGCCCGTGATTTGACTTGGCGAATCTCTTCGCCAACAGCCAATGCCAAAAAACAATACTCGCAGCTGATGTTGAAGACCAGATAGTCGAAAGAAGAAGAAACCGCAAATCAAACAAGGGATCATCATGACAAATGAGACCGAAAGCAACACAGGAGACAGAAAAAGGAGGAGCACTGTGATCCAACGATTCGTGCACTGATGCCAAATCCACATGTGACCATACTTGCCGAAAACAACACGCAGCGGAGACAGGCTCAAAAAGAGGATCAATCCAGGCACCTCCTTGCATTCGGTTCTTGGTGGTGAAGTTGAGATGGTATCTGATGCCACCCAGTTGCTTGGGCAGCAGCAACGTAAGATATGTAGTAAGCGTGTCAAAGGACGTTTTTGCAAGTCTTTCAGCATCTTGGCCCTTGACTTTGTCAATAGCTGCCGGTCCGTAACCTGGAATTTTTGCAAATTTTGCGTCAGCACAGCAATAAATATGTTCATAAGCACAAGTGAAATGCCAATGCTTGTCACGAAGAAAATCACCATGATGAAGAGGTGGTCATCACCTGGCTCAGGATCTTTTGGTACCCAGGATGCTTCATCTGTTTCTGTTTCATTTCCTTCAACGTACTTTGTGTCCTTTCCTTCAAATTGGAATAGGTCGAAATCACCCAGGATTCCAAGTCGAAATGGGATGACAAAGGCAGAGAAAAGCGGCAACGGATCCTCTTTTCGAGGGCCCATTTGGTAGTAAGCATGTGCGGAGGCCAAAAGACATGTGCTGGTGATAAAAAAAAAGGGCATTGAGTCCATGATGGCATTAATGATGGGCAGGAACCTGAGCCCAAGCCATGCGTATCCTCGAAGACTGGCCAGCAATCTGAGCCATGCCATGCCACAGAAAAGGGCCAGCAAGGCCTTGTTCCAACCTTCAGGGGGCAACCACAATTCCAGCTGCTTTCCAATTACAGCCGCACCAATTCCAGAGTACATAATATCAACGAGGTTGAAAATATCCCAATCCCACAGTTCTATCACCATGCATTCAGAAGTCTCCTTGGCGTGCAGGATCGCCAGGATCCATGCAAGGGTGAGATCTGATGAGCTGGGATTGCTACCGTAGTTGTAGGACAACCAACAAAGTAAGACCACGTTCACAACGTTTACGAGATTGTCGATGACACTGCTCCTAATGTGTTGAACCCACGCAACCGAGATGATCGCGTTCACAACATCTAAGTCAAGCATCTCAAGATTGTCACTTGAAGCCAAAGCTGCAAGTATTTTTGGGTCACATGCGAGTGGAGCTCGTAATGGTAGGATGTAGTGCTTTACTTGGGCAATGGAAGGGTTTAACATATTCTGATTTTCCAGGTCATTGTAATAGTCCACCACTGATCCTGTCCACCACTGCTCAGATTTTTTCGTCACATCCAGGCCATCCAATGGGGCCAAAACACACCCAACTCTGTCGCGCAGCTTGCCCAAACCTTCGCCCTTCTCCACCCAGAGTGCCTTCACCCTCTTCGTGGCTTCCTGGTCTTCCCGACGCAGCAGCATGGAAAGAATCTGCACATCCACTTCCTGCAGCTGGGCCTTGCTCTTAAGCAGCAGCGTCACAACCTCCTCGTGGTTACATTTCTCATCATGCGGCTTTGCGGTACCCAACATTGCGGCACCCAGAACTGTCACTCTGTCAGGAAAGGTCTCGAACCCCTCCTGCTGAATGTTCGTCCTTGTGTAGTTAGCATCAGAGCCCTGTTTCAACAACTTGTCCACTTCTTGAAATTGTCCAGCATGGGCATCCTGCCACAACTGGTCATTCAGCTCAGGAGCTGGCTCGCCGTGTCGTGGATCTGGCTCAGGAGATGGCCCGTGACAGTCGCAGCTAAGTGGCGCCGGCCAGGGGTATCTGCGGCCACAGGTTGAGCAAACAAACGCAGAGGTGAGTGGCATTGGCGGTTGGGGAGGCGGCGAAGGAACTACGACTGGAGGTTGCGAGATGTGCACTTCAACTGCATCCGGGTCTGCCAGCAAGACCTGAGACACTCCAGGCATCAAGAAAACAGGAGGACCAAACATTGCAGGCATCACACTCTGTCCTTCGACTTCGATACACGCTTCACGTGGCTGATGCTGATGCATGAGGATGGGCTGGACTCTAGCATGTCTTCCAGGCACAGCCACTTGCATTGGTGGCCCAGTCTGAGGAAACATAGTGAAACATTGATCTAGCAAATCATGAAAATAACAAAAAAGGCATTGAACCGATCTTGAACCAAAACATCTACATTGATCGAATTTCAAACGCTTCCATCGGATGTGGCGACAATCAGTGACTGCTCCATGGCTCTCTCAAGCAACTTCCGGGGGTCCAACTGCCGAGGCGTCTGAGTGAGCTCATCGCCTCGTTTGCGGACTGGCCGTTCTGATGGCTTCGCCACAGCGCCACTCGGGGGGGCGGAGACTCCGTTTTGGGTGAATGTATCATGTGCTCATGTTGTTTGTTGTTTGATTTTTTCACCGGGGGGAAAGTAAAGATGTGCAAACCAGCAAAAGGAAGCCTTCCACCCTGACTGAGGGAGGCTCATTTGGCAGGTCGTGACGCGGATCCGGCGACCGGTACCATCGTCGATGTTCGCAGGTTGCGCTTTTGTTCGATGACCGTGATGCTGGGCACCTGCTCGTCATGGCTGTTTCAACAATACAAAACGCAGCACCGAAACCGAAACCGATGCAGACCGAAACCGAACCGATCGCAAACGCCGAGCCAACACAACGAATACAACGCCGCATCGAACCGATACCGAGCCGAGAAAAACACGCAAACCGACCGCCGACACCGAACCGATTGCGGCTGCCTCACCAAGACCATTTTGCAACAACCTTGACTGGAAAGGGCAGGTATTTTTGATAATGCACCAACTTTGTGCAGGCAAACTTTTCTGATTTCTTTTCCACACACACCCTCCATTCAGCCTTCATTATAGTATACTCCATTTAGACCGTGGATGTTCTTGAGCCTTTTTTCACCCCTGAGCAAATTTGTTTTTCCTGATTGGCTAAATCCTTGGTCGCACCTTATTTTTATCGATTTTGGTAGGTTCTGGCCACGCCTGAGCAGACATCGAGCTGGAAGTTTGTTTCTTGTCAATCTACGGGACGGAGAGGGTTCTCTAATAGATTTTCACTGTTCGCACCCGGCCCAAAGGAGCAGGTCTTGACTCCTCTACAGAGAGAGAGAGAGAGGGAGCGAAAGAGGGAGAGTCACGAGCGCAGGGCATGAGCAAGTTTATACTGCGTTTAGAGTGCGTTTATACTCTTTGGCCCTGCCCTCTTCACACTTGAACAATTCACTTTTTCATGCTTTGGGGTGAGAAGGGCTTACTCCTTTACAAAGAAAGAGAGGGAAAGAGAGAGGGAGCGAAAGAGGCATGGGCAAGTTTATACTGCGATTCGAGTGTGTTTATACTCATTTGGCCCTGCTTTCTTCACACTTGAACAAGTCACTTTTTCATGGTTTGGGGTGAGCAGGGCTTACTCCTTTACAAAAAAGGAGAGGGAAAGAGAGAGGGAGCGAAAGAGGGAGAGTCACGAGAGCAGGGCATGGGCAAGTTTATACTGCGTTTAGAGCGCGTTTGGCCCTGCCCTCTTCACACTTGAGTAATTCACTTCCTTCATGGTTTGGGGTGAGAGGGGCTTAC